ACTCATGCGGGTAATTCAAGACTGGTTATTCCTGCAGAGTTAACTCCCAGTATAATTCAAATGTTGCCTCTAACTCAAGCTCCAGGTAAACTTTTCAATTTGCCCGCACAGATATTTTTAAACTTAAGGTGGCAAGCCCCTTGGGAGCACACCTTTAGCTCAAGCTGCTGCAGCCTTTTGGATTTGCTCCTCAAGTCCCATTGACTTGCATTATAGCAGCACTGCCCTCATGCTAGTCACATTAAAACCAAGATACCTTAAGGCTTCCACGCTTAGGTTAACTTTTCTATGAAGACAGGTACACCAAGGCACTGTTTCTACAATCTCATTTCTCAGAAGAGGCTATACTGGTAAATTGCTGAGCTTTCATTTTCGTTCACACTCCCCCCCCCCCACCCTCCTCAGTCTTTCCAAATCCAGCCTCTCCACTCACCTGTGCTAACTGTCCCCCAAATTTCATGCTGTTGCCAAATACCCACAACTGATTAGTCTTTCTCCCAGCTCTTTGTGCACTGGCTAGAAAAGCTGTCATGCTCTACCACTCCTATTACCACTTGTCATCCAACTGCTTACATAAGCCTGTGACCTCTGAAATAAAAGCATTTGCTTGTAGTTGGGTAGAGCTGGTTGGTTGGAAGAGGACTTGGAGAGGAAAATGATTTAAAAAACAGCCATAGAAGCACATTTCCAGAATATGTCTTTTTGGTTTTCCTTTCAACTTCGCTATTTCCTCTAGTCAACCACCAGCTCCCCATCAAAGAAAAATTTTCAAACAGCAAAGTCATTTTGTTTAACATTTCCACATAACCTCCAACAAACCGGACTACCATAGCTCATGTAATCATCTATAGTTTTGCTAAGCACAAATCAAAAGGATGTAAGTAACAGGAAAAAAAGTCCAATTTAGCAGTCAGCTCTACAATTCTGTACTGATTTTATGCCTTACAAAGTGATGTTAGGCATCTCAGGTTGCACACATTCATTTAAATTTGCTACTGAATGCAAAAATAAGCTCAAAGAACCTGGTATTCCTAACACGCCAATTCTGTTAGCGCTGTGGTGTCCCACTGACTATTAAAAATAACTTCATTTCCATAACTTCTGAAAAGGTCATGCTTTTCTTGCTTTATGTTGCCTTCTCAAATGGATTTACTCTAGTGTGCAGTGGAAGGACTGTTTTTAACCCGCCTTCACAACGGTTGTCGGAAAAGGCAATCCACACAGACGTAACACCCCCACACGTGCCCTGTGTATGTTAGCACCATACATGTTAGTTTAAGTCCACTGAGGTAGTTAAGCTGATGGGTGGATGGACCTGCATTCTGCAAAGGTTGCTTTGGGCGAGCAGGGTCCTGGTGAGCTCATCGGAACGAGCCAGCTTAGCAAAAACCTACAATTTAAACTGACCCCTCTCGTTTTGATGCAAGGGGTTTCGATAAGCTCAACCACTCCTGTGAGCATTCCCCATCTCCAGAGAGTATTATAAAATCAAATGCTAAAAAGCATTTTGGGGTGTATGTGGGCAAGGGGGCTAACACTTTCCCCTAGAACAGCTCTTTCTGAAAAAGATCATCTGCCACAACCTGATGCAAATGCCTAACAGAGGTCAAGGCTCTTGATATAAGATAATGCTCACAACAGTGTGATATATCCCATCACACGGGTAATTTTGTGAAAGGTATGTACACTTTTGCACACATAAAAATGACCCCAGAGTAGACTAACCTCTAGAACCTCCACCTTGAGTTTTGGTGGAGGTGCTCTTTCTCAATATCTCCCATGAGAGGATGGACTTGGAAAACATGCCCCAGGACTTAGTTGCCATAGCAAGCTTCTGGGCTCCAGAGAAAAATACACACTGTTGACTGCTTCCCTTCAGAAACAAAAGAAGAAAAACAGAAAAAGAAGAAGAAAAAAATTGTACCGTGTATCCTATTCACTTGTAATGTGAGAGACCTGAGTTTCATGACCTATGTACCATGTGGGAGCAGTCCTTGAACTAGAGGCGAGCATCCAGGGAACACTCGAATCCTACAGAGCTTTGACACTTCTCTGTGGCCCAGGAGGCCTCCTCCAAAGAGTCCTGAATTGGCTTCAGAGTGAAACTATCTCGAAAGGCGCACTAAGCACCCCTGCAGGAGCTGAGCACCTCATTTCCCCAAAGCCGAGCCGCTCGCTGGTTCTCACTGCAGCGATGGAGCCTCAGGTCAGAAACGAGTGACTGCTAACAAAGAAGGTGCCAGGCCTGCAATTTCTCAAACAGAAACCCACTACCTGCTTATCCATCATCATAACAGTGGCTCAGCGCACTGCCTGCAGCTGGTTATGCAGCTGTTTGAAGGACGTGTTACTACCACAGGGGTAGGGAGCACCCTTCTAGCAGGCGGGAGATGCCAGTTTGACCCTTTCCGGGTGACACGAGTGTAGCACTCAGGTCTACCCACTTCCACCCTAAATGATCCCTCTCTGGCGCACCACACAGAGAGGCACATCAGTGCCAGCTGTTAGGAAAGAATCAGCTTAACCCTCAAGAGACCAGGTGGAAATGAGAACCCTCATCTCAAAATGCCATTAGGAAGGGTTCAAGATTAGAAAAACAGTCCCTTTTTCACATCATTTCCCATTCACTTGCTCAGCACTTCCTGCTCGGCCAGCCAGCTGCTTGGTATCTTCATTACATAATGAACTGAGTTACCTACCTCAGGGCTGCTGAGATCCCCCCCTCCCAGAACAGGTTCCTTACAGTTAAGGGTTTGTAGCACTCAGTGTCAGCAAAGGCCAAACTGTCACAAATAATAATCCACAAATAATCACAGAGTCTGATTCTAAAGTAATTGAATGCTTAAAAGCTCAGTTTTGAGGGGAACGCAAAACCAGGTCCGTAGCTTCCGCCAGCGAATGGATTAGGTTTCGCTCTCTGACGAGACAAGCTATTTTGCTTATCGAATTAGCAAATTTTGATAAAACGGCAAAACAGGAGCATTTGATAGGGATGCATAAACATTACAAAATTTGTAACAGTTTGGAAAAACCTGTTAATCATCAGCAACATAGAACTGCGAGATACCCAACTATAAAAATACAAAATAATACCAGTCATCGCAACACTTTATGAAAGCACGCCGCTATCTCGCTATCTTTCGACAACCATATGCTCTGCTGTCGGTGTGTATACGTTATCCAGCCCTTACATAAGCCGTTGATGAAATTATCATCACAGGACAAAAGCAGTTGTAGCAAGGTTGAGGCAGCGGCAACGAAGGGAGCCCGGGAAGGAGCCCGACGCTGCACTGCGGCGGGACGGGCTCGCTG